CTCAATCCCCAGCAGTTTACACATCTCCTGGAAGACAGCTGACTCAAAGTTGGTGCCCTGGTCGCTGTGGATGGTGTGGGGGGCTCCATACCTACACACCCACTCAGAGACAATCTTTTCGGCCACAGGATAAGCTTCCACCCACTTACTAAAATAGTCTTGCACTACTAATATGTAGCGGTTGTGCCTCTCCGTCTCATTTAAAGGTCCCATCAGGTCAAGAGCAATTCTTTCCATTGGGGCGCCGACTTGTACTGTGCCCATGGCGGTACGGGGAGTTTTCTTGGGACGGGCTTTGGCAGCACAACTAGTGCAGGTGAGGCACCACAAGGTGACGTCATCCCTCATGTTGTACCAGTGATACCTGGTTTTAAGACGTGCCAAAGTCCTCTCTGCTCCAAAGTGGCCGCCCACTGGGCCATCGTGCATCTGCTCTACTACAGGGTTGCGCAGTGAACGAGGCAGTAAGATCTGTGCATACTGTACCTTGCCTTCGGTGCAGTAGAACTTCCTCATCAGGATTCCCTTTTTCAAATACAGTCTTTTCCACTGTGCCCAGTAGGCTTTGGTAGGGGGACTGCACGCTGCTATGCTAGCCCAAGGCGGCCAACTACTCCCTTTTTCCATCCATGTCAACACTGGTGCAATATCAGGGTCTGTCTTTTGGGCTGAGCTGAGCTGCTCCAGGGTCCAGCCACTGAAGAGGCCTTCGTGGCCTGCCTCACTCACCCGGTGGATGCTTGGGTGAGCTTCAGTACCACTGCAGCCGCTGACTCCAGAGTCTACCACCCTCACTATCAGTGAGCCCGGTTGGAACACTCTTTCATCTGCGTATCCATCAGCCTTCACTACCCCCACTGGCGGTTGCCCCTGAGTTACGGTGGCAACCGCCCCTGCTGGGCTGTCTGTTAGGCTGCACTGTACCCCTTTATGCTGACGCAGGCTGCTGAGAGAGGGGTCCGGAACTGTGCACAGGCAGGAGGACCGGCAGGGTCTTCTGGAGAGAGCATCCGCGTTCTGGTGGTTCCTCCCAGGCCGATGGATGACCCTGAAATCATATTCAGCTAACTTTTCCAACCAGCGTGCTAGCTGGCCCTCCGGCTCCTTCAACCGTGTCAACCAACGCAGGCTGCTGTGGTCGGTGCGGGTGGTGAATGGTCGGCCGAGCAGGTACTGCCTGAAATGAGAAGTAAACTCATACTTTTTCGTAAGTTCGTGGAGTGGTTTTGCAATTGTGGCAAAGTCAGCCACAAAGCGCCGGTAGTATGAGGCTAGGCCCACAAACTGCCGTACCTCAAAGACGCTTTGGGGTGTGGGCCGGTCTTGGATCTGCTGGATCTTTTGGGGATCAGTGGCCACACCTTCAGCTGAGACTATGTGTCCAAGATAAGCCACCTGCTCCCGAAACAGGCAGCACTTGGAAGGCTTCAGCTTTAAGTTGGCTCCCCGCAACCTGGCGAACACTTGCTCCAGCCGCGCCATCATCTGAGTGCTGTCCCGCCCCAGGACCACTATGTCGTCGAGGTAGACCAGGCACGTCTCCCATTGCAGTCCGACCAGGACTCGGTCCATAAGCCTCTAGAACGTGGTGGGCGCATTACACAGCCCGAAGGGCATCACGTTCCACTCGAACAGACCCTTTCGTGTGCAGAATGCAGCAGCTTTGCGGGCTCTGGGCGTCCTCTCTACCTGCCAGTACCCCGACGTCAGATCCAGGGTGCTGAAGTACCTGGCCGTGGATAGTGTGTCCAGGGTGTCCTGTGTGCGAGGCAGGGGGTAGGCGTCTTTGATGGTCCGCTCGTTCAGGGGCCTGTAGTCTACGCAGAGCCTGTGGGTTTGGTCTTTCTTTTTCACCATCACAATCGGTGCGGCCCAGCTGCTGTTGCTGGGTTGAGCTACGCCAGCCTCCAAGCTCTGCTGCACCTGCTGATTTGCCGCTACCTGCTTATCCCTCGCCATCCGGCGTGGTGGCTGCTTCACAGGTGGCCCAGGGGTGGTCATAATGTCGTGCTGCAAGATGTTGGTTCGGCCAAGGTCAGTGGGGCTGGCAGAGAAGACATCTCCATAGGACCGCAGCAAGGAGGCCAGCTTATGGCAGTCGACCTGTGACAGGCTAGAACAGCTCTCTGCATACAGAGTCTGCAGATGAGGAGGTAGAGAGGTGGGGTTACTGAGTTCAAACATAGGGGCCTCCAACACTTGGGCAGATTGGAGGACTCCTGCCACAGCCCCCCCTCTTTAAGGTGACAGGTGAGGCACCAGGGTTGAAGACCCTGATGGGGATGCTGGCAGGTGGGTGTGGCTGCACCAAAACACGGGCCACTAGGACATGGTGCCTTTGAACAAAACATTTGCTAGGGCTTAACATCATGTCTCTCTTAACAGCATGGCGAAGGCGGGAGGCTCCAGGGACAACACACTCACGCCCCGGCTCCAACACGGTTGTACGTGCCACCCTGACGAGGTGCGCCTCAGCCTGACGGCTGGGGTCGAAGCGGGGAACCCTCTCGCCGAAAAGGGTTATCTCTTGGCAGCCATAGTCCAGGCAAGCCCGCGCCTGCTGCAGGAAAGGGTGGCCCAAGATAACTTAAGTGTTCTCTGCGGTGTCAGCAATGATAAAGTTCACCTGAGTGGTTCTGCTCCCCACGTGCACAGGCAAGGTCACTTCTCCAAGAACAGCCACGCCGTCTGGCCCAATGCCCTGCAGGACCTGTGCAATAGATGGCTGAATTGGGGGCTTAGAATCTTCGGGGATGGAGTTGAAATGGTGCAGGGGCAACACATTCCTCCGTGCTCCGGAATCCAGTAGAGCACGGATTTCCAGTCCATGTATCCATATTCCGATGCACATTTCACCCTCTTCACCCTTGGTGTGGGCGACCACTGTGCTTGCATCAAGGGCGGGGTTTTGGCTTACATTCGTGGAGGGCCGTGGTGGTCGGCGAGGGGAAGGGCAGGTTTTCTGCAGATGTCCCACGCCAGAGCAGTTGTGGCAGATAATTTCTCCCTTAGACATTCCTTTATAGCTGCTTTTGTTGGGCTGCCACTGTTGGCGGGTTCTTGGCATCCTCCGTGGCGGCTGACTGGGGGTTCTGGGTGCTCTGTCAGCCTGCTCACTTACTGGAAGACAAACAGGTTCATACAAAGTGGCTGCTTGGACACGCCCTCCTGGACGCATCAGCTGAGTGACGGCCCTGGCAGCTCTCTTTGTGGCTTCATACTCGTGTGCAATCTCGTAGGCTCGTGCTAGTGTGCGGGGATGCTCCTCCAGGAGTTTCTGGACCACCTCAGCGTCCGCTAAGGCATTGGTGAAAATCTCCACACTGATGCAGTCTTGTTCCAACTCAGTCCGGTTGGCATACACAATGGAAACTTTCTCATAGATGTCATCTCGGAGCTCGTGTAAGGCCTCACCTGGTTTCCTGACCCTCTGTCTCAGCTCGATGCCTATAGCTGCAACATGCTCGGAGCACGGCCCATAGGCGGCGTCTATCTCCTCAACTATGCGCTGGTAGCTCCAACGAGTGGATCTGGGGTTCTTGTGGACTGCACCAGCTGCGCCGGACAGGCTGAATCGCAGCTGGACAGCCATAGTCTTTTCATTCCAGTGATTAGCTCTAGCATAGCTTTCAAACTGATAAAGAAAGTCTTTCCAGGAACCTGATCCATCAAACTGGCCAGGCCGCAGTGTGGGAATTCGCTCCCTTTTATCATGTTGTTCCTCATCACTGCTGTCGGCGGAGTCACTGCAGATCACTCTTCGTGGAGGACGATGGTGTGGTGCAGGAAAAACATGCCTCAAGCCAGGCTGGCCCTCTTTATACAACATATCCTCTTCCTTAGGAAGTGCTGCATGGTGTGGTGGTGAGATGGGATTATGGCACTGTACTGCCACTGCCCCGTTGGCTTGTGCAGGCTGAGTCTCATATGGTGTTAAACATTGAATCGTTTGGTGAAAGGGCAGCACGGCAGGGGCAGCTGGGGTGCTTATGGTGCAGCAATGACAGTTTATGGGGGTGAAAGGGTTGGTTAACTGGGGCCCAGCAGCATTAAAAGTCT